CCTATATAAGTATTTTCCAGGGTCCTATTGAAACTATTTAATTGTGATGAAGATAAAGATGCAAAAGAAATATGTGACAGTTACATTGTCAATAAAATTTTTCAAAAAGACATTAAATTTATGAAATAAAGGAACTTGAACAGCTTCTTATAGCAGACTGCCTATATGATAGTTTCTGACGTCCTGAACTTTGAAGCAACATAAAGAATGTGAAAGATTCCAGGCTGTATTGATGAATATACCTATTGGCCTCAATACAAGTGTTTTATATTCTGCCAAAAATCTAGCTCAATCATTACTCACATCTTATACAGGCTGCTATTAAAGCTCTGAATTTCCAGTTTGGTTTCATTTTTAGTTCTATTTTCAGTTCTAAATTTGGTTCTTTACTGGATATTTTTTGAACTACTAATTTTTGCTGAAAAATGTTTTCAGGATGTTAACTGAAAAACGTTTTATTAGTTAAAAAATTTAATCTGAAAACATTTTCAGTTTGAAGATTTCTTTGAAAACGATTTCAATTCTATTTTTTGATCTAAAATACGGAACCAGAATTTATTTTTCAAACTGAAAACATTTTTTGGTAAGGTTTTAAACTGGAAATATTTTCAGTTAAAAGTATGACTTGAAAATAATTTTCAGTAAAAATTTTAAACTGAAAAACACTTTTGGTAAAATTTTCTATGAAAGATCCAGTTTAGAACTGAAAATGAAACTGAACTGGAAATTCAGAACTCTAGCTGCTATGCATACAAAATCATTCAAGAACATGGGTGCAAAAAGTTAATTATATATTGCGACACATAGACAAGCTTGAATAAAGCATTCAATATGGAATTTACTTTCAATGAATTTAAAGATGTTTGGAAAAAATACTTTCGCTCACTTTGAACAGGCCTAAAAATAGACTACCAAAGCAAGATTCATCCTAGAAATGGAACTAAGGTAAGAATCCTAAAGTATTGCAGAAGAAATAATCTGAAACGCAATCTACAGAGAGGAAGTCTTCCAAAATAAAAATGGATAAGAAAAGCTTCAATAATAGTAACAAACTAACTATTTTAGCTGAAATTTGTTCACTGCTACATTTTTTGGCTAACTAATATAAAGAAATCAGAGACTTGGATAGTGAAAAGTGTAGTGTAAAAGTGTATTGTTAAATAGGTTATATTTTACTAACCCTTTTATATATATTTTTTTACCCTAGCTTTTATTTTATTACTTCTCTTCATTTTTTTTTTTTGTGTCCTGAATTTTATGTTGCAGTTACAGTAAGTTTTTGGATACTTACAGGATGTAGACTAGAAAAAAGAGATCCTTCTAAGAAAGGACTCCTTCAAGAAGTACTTATTCCCCTAGTCCAGAATACACACATAAGTGGTTGTTTAATATAGTTAACAGGTGGTTTAGTACTTAATGAATTACCGTATATAGCGGGCTACAGTACCCCAGGTATCTTGCAAAAATCAGGAGTTTAACAAAGCCTAAAAATTCTGATTTTTGCGAATATCTTACATTCTACTGGTCCAATTTGAATGATTTTTTTTATTTTGAAGAATTCAATAAGAACTATCAAACAAACAAAAAAACGATGGCTCAAATCTGATCACTGAATCATGAGATAATTGTAAAATATCCCCCTGAGTACTATACAATTCTATGAAATTTTTCAAGAGGGGTACTATGCATAGGGGGGTACTATGACCCACGATATACAGTAGTTAATTGATCTTTCTTATATCATGTATACATTGATGAAATTTTTAAATTAACTAATAAAGTATCTAAATATGCTGCAGCCCTGTCTCTTATACACATCTAGATGTGTATAAGAGACAGATATTTTACTTTCCATTAAACTCTTCTTTAATTTTATTTATAAAAAAATACTATTTTTTATATATAAAATGATAAAAATTTAAAATTTTTTTCAAACTACTAATATAAAAATTATATTCAAACAATCAGCAAAAAGAATTTTTTGCTTTAACAATTTCTTATTTATATTATATAAATTATATAATAAATAAATTTATAATTAAATTTCATATTATAGTATTTATTTTAATTTTATTATTTTTAAAAAATTAATTATAAATATTTATTTTTAAATAAAAAATACAATTAAAAAAAAATATTTAATGTATAATTTATAACTAATTTGCATTTAATTTTTGTAATTATTTTAGAATTTAGTAATTATATATATATTTTTTTTTGTAGAATTTATTAATAGTTATTTAAATTGGATTATTGAATAATAAAATAATTTGTAAAAAACTAATTTTTAAAATTTTAAATTTTAACTGAATTTTTTTTTTTATTAATAAAGTCAAATTAATATTTTTTTTTTTACTAATTGCAGTACATTTATAAATACTATATTAAAATAACTATTAATAAAAAATATATATAAGTAATAAATTATATTCTATTCTAATATTATTGATTTATAAATTTTTGAAAAAGAACATAAGTTATATTTATTTAATTTAAATAATAAATAGTTATATTTATACTTCTTAAAATTGAAAAAAAGGAATAATTATACAAATAATTATATATTATAATTATAGAATATTTTTCCAATATGTTTATTAATATATTAAAATAGTATAAAAATTTTATATGATATGGTGGATGTCGCCTATAAACCACACTAATATTATATGACTTCAAATTTTTATAAATTGTAAATTGAATAGTAAAAAGAAAAAACTAAACCGATAAAATGATAGAACAACATGTACTGAACATTTCTATCGGGTTATTTTATAGAATTTAATAAGAATTTTAATTAATATTATGGGTTAAAGTTAGATAATTTTAATAAGTAGCCATAATAAAAACATAAAATTTCGGACTAGTTTTTATGTAATTTTTATGGATTTTACAAAAATTCCATGGAAATCCACAAGAATTCCATGTAATATAGCAAAAAAAATTTTGCCGCTCACGCGGCAATTATTATATTTTAGCAAAGTACTTTAAAAATAAGTTACACAATATAAATAAATAAAATTTTAAATTTCGGACTATTATTAATATTGTTGTTTATAGATGACGACCACCATATAATTATATAAAAAGTAATTATATAAAAAAATAGACTGTATAATAAAAAAGCTAAAGGATAATTATTTAGAATAATTTTAATTATTATTTAAAATGCAAAATAAATTTAAATACTTTTATTTTTTAAGAAAACTAGTTATAATTTATAAATAATGAATTACCGTATAGCACTGCCTAAAATACCCCGGGTATATATCAATTTCACCAACTTAAAAATTGAATTATACCCAGGGGTATCTTGTATGGAATATGGAAAAATTGGCCAGAATTAGCCGAATTCTTACCAGAATTAAGATTTTTTAACCACATATCATACCCGGGTATATTATAGTGGAGGTACGCAGATAGGGGGGTCTCTTAGGCAGTGCTATACGGTATTATTATAAAAATACATATTGTTCAAATTATTTTAAACTGCTATAATAATAAGTAAAATTCCAAATTCAATTATGACATTCCAAATTATTTTAGCACTTTACATAGTAAATTACATATAAATTGAATGAAATTCAAATTATAATTATAGCATCTCAAAATATAAGTTTAATTATAAAAATTAAAAAATTTACTAAATTAATTTTATTTTAAGAGTAAATTTAAGGTATAATATATAACAATACTTTAATTATTTTATAAGTTTTAAATACAGTAAAAATTTATATAATAGGAGAAATATAGAGCTAAACCTCTGAAATTTGCAAGATATTTAAGAAAAAATTTTATATATATTAATTATTTATTTAATATTAATAATAATTAATTAACTTATTATATAAAATATAAATTGATATACATAAATTTTATATTATAAATTTAAGTAAATTTATATAATATATATGATTTAAAGCCAACTACATTTATTATATAACTTTAAAGGATAGAAGTAATAACTAAAAAATTAATTATTTTCTATTAAATAATAGATTAATAAGTCATTATTTTTCATATGACAAAACTCTTTTTTAATTAAATAATCTTTAATATTAAATATATAAAATTAAAATCAGGTATTTTTATTAATTTTATGTCAAATTTGATCATCATAAAAGTGGTCTAAAATTATAAAAATTATATAATTTAGATCAAAATTTCTTAAATTGCAATAAATCTTAAAAAGCAATTTTTTATTATACTAATCAGTATAAAAAGTACAAATTATTGAAGAAAATTTAATGATAAAATATTAATATTATACATCAAAATTTTTATAAAGTATAATTATAATAAATATGTGTTAACCAAAATTTATTTTACATAATATAATTATGAGTCTAAAAAATTTGGCCACTAAATAAAATATTAGTTAGCTTTAGACTAAGTGTATCATACTAAAAAAAATTTAAATAAGTAATTATATTTACATAATTTTTAGTTAAATCATTACTATTATTAATTTTTACTTGTAGTTACTTTTATATTATTTATATTGTTTAACCAGAATTTTTTTTCTTCAAGTATAATTATATTAATTGATTTTCCTTTTATACAAGTAAGTTTAACTATTTTGGCAATTAAATTTTATATCCAAAGAGTTTTATTATATTTGTTATAATATTTATATTTATTATTTTTTAAAATTATCTTAATTAGTATTTTTTATAATTGTTAAATTATTTTCAGTTATAGTTTGGTTAATCAAAATAATAATAATAACAATATACAATTTTAAATGGTTTTTATAATACTTTTATTTTTAACTATAAATAGAACTATATTTTCTGCAAAATAAAAAATCTAAGTTCAATAATTAAAAAATTAAGCTTATAATAATAGTAATACAAATTATATTTATTACGTAAGAGGAAATGTGGCTGAAGTGGCAATTGGCAAACATCCATTTAATTATTTTCTTGATCAGGTGGAAAGCACTATATTAATTGTAGAAGTTGATAAAACATTACTGCGCCAACACTGTGCCTTTTTACAACTTTTTTGCAGTTCCACAGGGACAGAAGAAGTTTTATATTTCGCCCCCTTTCAAACTATCGAAAAGCTTCCCATTTCCATTCCTCATCACATACTGAAGTTTCTTCACGCTCTCTATCCGAGAGCCATATTTCCTTTCAAAAAATAGATCTTGGTGGACTTTGTTACAAACATTTATGTTCGTCGTCTTCATCTCAATAATATATAAATATATATCAAGCCTACAGACTAATATTTTATTTTATTTTATTTTTTTTCTTTCAACAGCTCGCATTTTGGTAGTATAGTCGCACATCCAACTTCTTCCATATTTGTTTCAAAAACTTTGCGTATAGTTTTACAGTTAGTTACATTTTAAACTCCAACTTAATTTGAACTTTCAAAATCTTTCCTTTTTTTTTAAAACGATCACAATGAGAGAATCAAACTTTTCGTTTCCTTCACAAAACCGTGCGTCAGTTTGCATTACTGCTGCTCTTTATGATAGAAGAGCACTTGACTGCACAGCCATCTTACCTTTAATTAACTCCTTAACACATCTCACCTATTTAACGAGTACTTCACCACGCATCCGAGAGATTCTCACGATGGATGGGGGGTTAGAACGCTTGGTCCGTATCCTTAAAACTACTAAAGTGAACGATAAAAGAAGTGGTTGGAAGTGGTCTATGGCATTTCAATGTGTCGCTAACGTTGGAGTACGAGGTTCTGAGACAATCAGGACCAGAGTTGTGGACGCTGGTATGGTACCGGTTATTATAACCGTATTGGACAATTTTTTAAAGGCACTTGATCATGTTAGGTTGGAGAAAGAACAACAGCAATTACTTGCTGCACAGTTGCTTTCAACTCAACATCCATCGCTGATAACAACAACAACAACACCATCCCCTTCAATGCCTCTTGCGGCCGCTTTTGTTGGAGCTTTAGAAAATGGTAACGCGTCGAATACTATTCAGATGTCTGAAGAGTCTGAACAACTTTTAACTTCTTATCCTCACTCACCTAATTCAACAACATCCATTTTCCCCTCTTCCGATTATTTAAATGAAACTTCTGATATTTCCAATGCTGGTTCATCAAACATACACGGTATTACACCGACCACAAATACAGCTGCTGCTTCTACGAATAGGTTTCTAGCAAATGTCACAACACCTTATGATATAAGATCGTCTGATGATGCAAGATCGGATGTTGCATCTTGGGGTTCAGTTGCAGATAATGAAGAAATGACCACTACAATGCCACAGCTTCCATCGACAATTACAGGCGGTTCCGGAGCAAATATAACTCCAAGTTTGCGACCATCACAGCTACCGAGTAATACGAATAACAATTCAACAAATCCTACTTCGCAATCATCAACTTTGGAAATTGACGTTCTTTACCGTGAAGAAGATATTCTTCTGTCCCTTCAACTACTGGCCTACCTTTCAAAATATCCTCATTTACGCGCAACTTTTCACACAGCTTATCCGCCTCATAACGTATTTTCTCTTGTGGAGAAATTCACCCATCGCCTCCATCCCGCAGAAATTCAGTACTGGGCAGGTGTTATTATGCGTAATGCTTGTCGTAAGGATGAAGCTCGCGGTGGAATCCGTCAATGCGCTTATATGGCTTGTGGTAAATGGGAAAGCTATCCAAGAGAATTTGCTAAATGTCGGAGATGCCGTAAAGCTAAATATTGCTCTAAAGCATGTCAGTCAAAAGCATGGAGCGAGGGACACAGGTGGTGGTGTATGGAACGACATGGTCATGGAGATACAGATAGTACATCTGCAAATGGTCAATCAAATTCTAATGGAACTTCGTCAAGTTTGGGCGGGCATCGTTCTCGTTCAACAAATTTTGGACACTCCACAGATAGCTTAGCAAGGTCAACAACGAATCGTGAAGCAACGCCAACGACGGTGACGACAGGTGCGACATCTCACGGCCGTGGTTCTTCTGGATCAGGATCAGTTCTAGTATCATGATGGTATTTGTGATAAATAAGTTTCGGAATAGGATGGGGCCAATTAATTATATATAAATATATTTTCTTTTGCATATATTTGATTTGATTTCTTTTTTTTTTTTTGTTTTTAGTTAGATTTAGTCATTCCGATTTTATTATTTCATTGTTTATATTTTTTCTGGTATGTAGATTATTCACATGGAATAATTGATTGTGGTTTTTTATCATCATATCAATTTCATAAATTTGAGTTTGGGATACTATATTTAAGTAGAAGAAACGGAGTTTTTGTTTGACGTGCTTGAAATTTGTTCTTTTGTAATTTTTTTAGATTATTAATCATCTGTAATATTTTTTTTTTTTTTTTCCTTTCCTGCGCACGTTATCAAAATTCCTTGTAGTTCTGGCTTATTCATCCTTCTCTCCCAATCTTTTATAAAATACATTTACCTTCTCCTACTTTACATTACATATACAGAATTGTTTATATGCAGAAAAATCACGTCTATATTTCCCTGTTGTATCAAATGGTTATTATATAGCAAATTGTGTGGTTTAATATAGAAAATATTTTTTTCTTTAGATTTCTTGCAAAACCTTAATTTTGTTGAAGTATGATATAGTTGGTAATCTGTCTAATATCGCTGAATATTTTCCTCTGTAGGATATTTAGCGGTGTTAAAATATCTCAACTGCGGAGGAAAATGTGTAGAATAATTATAAACTTTGATCATTCATTTATTATATTTTTATTTAATCTTTTTTTTACATAATGCATCAAAAATTGACATTTAAATACAAATAATAGAAGGAATTTTTTTCTATAAACATTGTACAAATTTTTTAATTTTTTTTTTTAATTTTGCTAAATTTGCATTTTTGTATCGTTTGATTCATGAAATTGTTGATCATTCAATATATGAATATATGCTTTTGTTGATTTCCTGTTTAGTAAATTACGGATGAAGATCTACTTTATTAACTGGCTGTAAAGAACCAGAAACCAGGTAAATCAACTAGAAATCAATCTTCATTTTTTAATTCAATTCGGAAATTATCTAACTATTTATAGTACAAGTTAAATAGTGATCATCATCGCTTTATTTTATAATAAACATCATATGATAACGCGTTTTTTCAAGTAATTATATAATAATGAGTTTCAAAGGCTTCGCACAACTAGAAAACATTTGTAAAACGACTTCGGAAGTGGCTGCGCTTAACTTTACGTCGCATAATGCACGTGTAGCTGCTCTCTTAAAACATGAAGAGAGTAAAAATTCGATCCGTGATGCTGCGCCTCACGAAAAGAAGTTATTTACTCTGGTAGATGAACTTGGAAAGAAGTCTCGGTAAAAAGTATTTTGATGGTTTATGTTATCATAATCCTACATTATTAAGCAAAACTGAAAAAGTATTTACAATTTAATATTTGTTAAAAAAAAATCGACGTGGTCGCGTCGCTTCATAAAGGCAGGAATTAGAACAACCTACTCCTTTGCGCGGTCCTGATCTTGTAACAGTTGATAAATTGCTTCGAGCAGCCAACGTGCTAGCTCAAATTTGGTATTAAAATTTTCTAAATTTTGGTATTTTCTCTATAAGACGCGCTTCTTTAATATTACAAATTTTTATCTATTAGCGATCTTCAAGATGCCAAAGAGAAAATCGAAACATTAGCACAGCAGCATGAAGAAATTACTTCTTCGATAGATAGTTTGGAATCTATTAAGGAAAAGGTAAATTGCTTAATACTTTTCTATATCTTGATTAGATAAGTTAATTTAGTGACATTTCTATCTTTGTTTAATTTTATTTAATAATTAGCAAAGAATAAATCTAGAAAAGCTTAAAATAAAGGCACAAGCGAGAACTTCGAACCGGTCAAATGATCATCAAATTGACCAATCACAGAATATCGCAGATGAAATTCACTGTACTAATATGGAAATATTTGCGTTAGAAATGGCAAAATCCGAATGCATAAATAGAGTATTATATATTTTTTATTATGTTTATTATTTATTTAAGTTTTAGTCATACGCATTTGGTTCTTATTTTACGTAATTATACAGATTCATTTGATTGAAGACGAATTAAATAATCAGAAATGCCTAGAGGAAGAAGAAAAAGAATTGAATTGTCGTCTTGGAACGATGGTATTATCAGATGAACTCAATGATACTGAAGAATCAGAAGATTTAGAGGTATACCATTGAATGTTAAGGAAAGTTTAAATTAGTTGTGTATTAATATTCTATTTAAAGTTAAATCCAGAAATACAAATACGATTACAAGAAATTCAATATAAACAAGAAGAATTGGCTAGATTAGGTTTGTATCAATATCCAATGTTTTAAGTTTCCTATGAATATTAAAATAAATTTATCAAATCGAATATTTAGATGATCAACTCAAAGAATTAGATAACAATATACTGTTACAAGTTGATGATAGCGAATTTGGCCGTTTAAAATCAAAATTCCAGTGCTTTTTAACGGGGGTAGAACCGGTAATAAAGGGTATATTCGTATCTTTTTAAATTTATCAGTAAGATTATTAATTTTGTTGACCGTTACATAGAAATCCAATGATCTGACGAATGAAAAATTTAGAGTTCAAACTATTTTGGTATGTCATCAATTATTTAATACTTTTCATTTATCAAATTATTATCATCCTTATCATATGAAGAGAGTAGTCATCTTCAGCATCGGTTCTCGATAAATTCGTGGAAGATCAAGAAAAATTAAATACGTTGGAATACGACAATATTATCATCAAGTAAATTACATTAGTATATTTTATTATTTTTTTATCGATATAAACAAATAACCGCTATAAACATTAATTAAATTAGGGACGTAAATGATATAATGATTGATAATTGCGCATCTGGACATAATCTAAACGAAATAGATACGGACGCATTGATTCCAATTCCTTCACAACAAACAAAATTAGGTGCGATGGTTCTTCAAATTATTCGTGATATGGATGAACTTACTTTTAGTGAACTCAAGATTAAGATAGGAGAAGCTGCACGTAAAGCTGATTTATCAGAAGATCAAGGTGTTCGTGCCATCTACACTTTACTTGCAAATCAACTCATAACCATTGATCGATCAAAGGGAAGTTATCAGCCTGTTCGATCAGATTTAATCTTCTAATATAAGACTGATCCACTGTGTTACTATGATTTTTTATTATCATATAACGTAATAAATGAATTTCTAATTGAGTTGCATGATTATTTGCGAGACTATCCCAAGACAATTTCTTTGCGATAATCTTTTTTTAAATTTTAATTCCATATCACTGCATATGTTTCATAATAATAAAAGAAAATTAATTATTCCACAAATGCCAAAAGAATAATTCGATTTGATAATTCAAATTAGCGTTTGACCATACTTACGCGTATTAGTTATCTTATCTATTGAGATTATCTTACAAGCCACGAAATGTTACGTAATGTTAATCTAATTAATCTAATCTAGGGTTTTTTGGGAAGTGTTTCCGACTGGTAGCATGACCGGAGCAAATTCGTTTCCACAACGATCCGATGATTCCGATCGATCCGATCGATCTAGAATTTTGCGATTGTCTGATTGACTTGGATTTTTTCCTTATATAAATATATAAAGAAACACTTTTTTTTTGTGTGTGTGGATATAACCTTTCTACTTATTCAAAAATTAAGTTTATACTCATAAAAAAATGGTCAAAGCTGTAGTATTAGGTGCTGCTGGAGGTATTGGGCAGCCTCTTTCACTTCTTCTTAAATTGAATGAAGTTGTCACCGAACTTGCACTTTATGACATCGTAAATAGTCCTGGTGTAGCCGCAGATTTAAGTCATATCAACACTCCAGCCAAAGTTACCGGCTATTTACCACCACCAAAAGACGGTTCAAAAAATGCGCCAAATGACGGTTTAAAAAATGCGTTGACTAACGCTCATTTGGTTGTTATTCCAGCTGGTGTTCCCCGTAAACCCGGTATGACAAGAGACGACCTTTTTAAGGTATGATTGATTTAAAATTTTTAATTATAATATTCAAGATATTAAGTAGATTAAAATTGTTCTTTCATTATGGGACTTTATTATTATCATTGCATATTAGATAAATGCAGGCATTGTTCGTGACCTGGCGACAGGCATTGCCCAATATTCTCCTGATGCTTATGTTCTCGTGATCTCAAATCCTGTAAATTCCACCGTACCAATTATTGCAGAGGTTTTGAAGAAACATGGAGTATTTAATCCAAAAAGAGTTTTTGGAGTTACAACTCTTGATATCGTTCGTGCATCTACTTTCACTAGTTCAGTCAGTGGAGCAGATCCACGAAAAGTTCGCGTCCCTGTTGTAGGAGGGCACAGTGGTGTAACTATCATTCCTCTCTTGTCACAAATTTCCCCACCTCATAGCTATACTCAAGATGAAATTGAGTTACTTACACAACGCATTCAATTCGGTAAAACAAAACGCCTTTCATATAAAATAACGATTTTATTTTAGTACATCTTATTTATGCTTTATGTTTTAATAGGAGGTGATGAAGTTGTTAAAGCCAAGGATGGTGCAGGATCCGCAACTCTTTCAATGGCACAGGCTGGTGCTCGATTTGCATCCTCAATTTTGAATGCAACTGTTAAAGGAGAATCAGGAATTATTGAGCCTTCTTACGTTTGCCTAGATGCTGATAGCGTAGGGGGCAAACAAGTTAAAAACGCCGTTAATGAATTGGATTATTTCTCATCAAACATTGAACTGGGAGTATGTCTTTTTTTGAACTATATTTTCCTATTTTACTTGCATACATAAATTTACTCTTTTTTTTTAATTATAATTAATAATCGATTTGACAGAAAAACGGCGTTGAAAAGATCCACCCTCTTGGTAATATTAGTGAATATGAAAAGAATCTACTTGAAGCGGCTATTCCAGAGCTCAAAGCAAACATCAGCAAAGGCATCTCATTTGTTGCAGATGGTTCTAAATTGTAAAGTATCTTTTATAAAGAATAAATTAAATCATCATATATAAATTATACCTATCATAAATTGCTAAGTTTTTTTGCATTTAAATTCGCATATCTAAAATTGATATTTATAAATATATTTTTGTAACAATAGTTAATTTGAATATCCAAAACGATACCGATAAAATCATTTCCCAAGTCACCCCAATTTTGGCATAATTGATTTTTTACGGACTAACGAGTAACGACAAATTGGGTAAGGAAAAAGTTGTCAATTATTTATTTTTATTTAATTTTTATTTATTAGCCGTTAAAATAGGCTTTGCGCACTTAATATATCTGATAGCTATAGTTTAGCAAAACATTTACGTTTTTCTCACATGTCTTTAATTTTAAAATAATAAATGTACCCAATGCATGAAACGTATAGATGAATTTTTGAAATAAACTCAAATATCGTGATTAAATTGGGTTTTATTGTTATAAGCAACTTCCACAAAAGAGATAAATTGATAAAAATATACGAAAACATCTCGAAACGTGGAGCTATTGAATGTCTAAAAAAAAAAAAAAAAAAAGGTTATTTGGAGTTATTTATATTCAACCAAAAAAAAAAGATTATCATAAATCACGTGAATCACATGATATGACATTATAACGTCACTAATTTTCACAAAAAAAGACGCGTTACGACGTTACGTGTTATTTTTAGGATTTATATGACATAAATATCCCTAATTAAATATAAAAGCAAACCTTTACTTTTTCTTCCTATCTTTCAAAACAATACAAAATACATACATTCTTAAACTTAAACCTTCCATAAATATTATAATCCACTTTCCAAAAATGGCTGACGACTACACTAAACTTGAAAAACTCGGCGAAGGTAAATTTGATTTTCGCGTATAACTTCTTGAAGAATTCAAGCAAAGTTCAATTACAAAAATTACAGATTTATTTATAATACAGGCACATATGGTGTCGTCTATAAGGCGAGAGATACGAAGACTGGAAAAATTGTTGCGTTAAAGAAGATTCGACTGGAAGAAGAAGAAGAGGGAATTCCACCGACTTCGATTCGCGAAATTTCACTATTGAAGGAAGCCACTAAGAACAGTAATATCGTGAAGTAAGTTATTATTTCTTCGTGTATCGATAAAAAAAATAGTAATTTAATTATAATATTTGCTAGGCTTTTGGACATTGTCAACCAGGAACGAAAATTATGTCTCGTATTTGAATTATTAAAAATGGACTTGAAAAAATACATGAAAGGGCTTCCACCAGAAGGAATGGATCAATTTACAATGCAGGTAATTCGCATCTTTAACTTTAGTTTTCCTTTATAAACTATACCGAAGGTAAAATTTCATTCTGTTTAATGGATTTATTAGAAATTTATGTATCAACTCCTTGATGGAACGCTGTTCTTGCACATGCATCGTATTTTCCATCGCGACTTGAAACCACAAAATTTGTTGATTGACGAAAATGGAGATTTGAAATTAGCAGACTTCGGATTGGCGAGAGCTGTTGGTGTCCCTATGAGACCATATACTCATGAGGTGAGTTAAAGTATCTGGGTGTTCGATCCGTAATAATAGAAATAGAATTACGAATTCTATCTGAAAAATCGGATCGAACCTCTAAATTAAACATTAGATATTTACTATAACTTATTATAATCGATCATCCCTAAGTATAGGTTGTTACTCTTTGGTACAGAGCTCCTGAAATTTTGCTAGGCTCTAGAGCTTACTCTTTTACTATTGACATGTGGAGTATTGGGTGTATTTTTGCAGAAATGTCACTTTTGTCACCAATGTTTGCAGGTATGATGTTAATCGATTAGTATACTTAATATGAATTATAAATTTTCAATATTATTTAAAAATTTCTTTGTTATTATAAAGGTGATTCTGAAATTGACGAACTTTACACAATCTTCAGGTAATTTATTTTAAAATTGTCAAATTGGTAACTGAAATAGTTGTTTAGGCTAATAATTCATTTTATTGCAGAATTTTAGGAACACCAGATGAAAATGTATGGCCAGATATTATAAATTTGCCTGACTACAAGCCGAACTTCCCTCAATGGAGACCACAATTATTGTGTGATAGCGTTCCAAAGATGGAACCGCTTGCCATTGATTTACTTTCGGTATAATATATTAATTGATTATATACAATATAACTCAAATATGTTTTTATTAACAACTCGATATCTATTAATAGAAAATGCTAATTTACGATCCTGCTTATCGAATCTCTGCCAAGCGCGCTCGATCCCATCCTTACTTCAACACCTATATATCTAGCCTTTCCCGCTTGTAAGTGCGCATTTTTTTCCTAAAATTATTTAGATCATTTGCCTAATAGTTTCAAATAATATGTTTGATACATGAAACTTGATTAAATTTTTTATTGAGATCCCAAATATTATATTAGATTGAATGTGTGCTCGCAATTAATTGCTTGTGGGTATTTGATTCTAACTCAAATTACCCTAAAGATATAATTAAATGCACACTACTATTACTATTTATTATTATTTTTTATAACTTTTTGTAATTTTTTGTCAATGACTATTAGCTATATATGAATGCACTTGGAAAAAAATTAAAAAAAATATTTTAGTTTTAAAAAAAGTTTTTTCAAATGACTCTTTAATATGACATCTATTCACTATAAATGCAACACATCGCGGGCTTAGTCTACCCTTTCGGGGTCACGAATTTAAGTGGCTTTTTTTCTAGCTACGTGTTCCATGTAGTCATTGAACGTACTATTTTGAAATTATGTATATGAACGCAATGACCAACGAGTGTATAAAATGAAAAATTACTTTTAAAATTCAATTTGAGGTTTTCAAAAAATTCGATAAATATGAAGCATTTTATTTTATTTTTATTTCACAAAGTGAACGAGGTTACAAAGAAATTAATATAAGTAAATGTTTAACCATGAACTATTATTATGATTAATTTGAGTAAAGATAGGTCACATGATATCGAAATGTTTTTTTTAACCAAATTTTGTTTAATTAAAAAAAAGAGATATTTTTTTCGATTGAAAAAAAAGCTGATAGAACAAAAAAGATTTCCTGCGCAAAATAGAAGGATGTAATTTTTTTTAATATTATTAATATTATTAAAATACGCTAAATAACGAGAAAAAACGCGAGCAAAAAAAAATCTTGTAAAAGTTTCACTTATATCAAACACTTGTTCGGAAAAAAGACTCGAAAACAAACTCCATCTTCAAAATAAGCAAAAAAATTATTTTATATAAAAGTTTGTGGAAGGAAGATTTAAATTCACGATTAAAAAAAGTTTGGAAAGAAATAATTTTTAAATTCGCCCGGAGTGGGGCTCGAACCCACGGCCTTAAGGTTCCCAAGACTCACGGAGATGTCTTAAAAGCCTCACGCTCTACCGACTGAGCTATCCGGGCACTTCATGTGATAGATAATCTAAATAATTCCTACAAGATTTATAAATTTTTTTTTCGTAACGGACTTTTACATATATATGTACAGTATGTAAAAGATAAAATATGAATATTATCTATTGGTAATTTTATTTTCCTTGTGGAGGAAGTATGTTTAATAGGATGAATTTTCAAATTTACATACCAATTTTCTTATGAATTTTTTTTTTTTTTTTTCAAATTTTTATTTAGAATATATCTATTGGTAAAAACGAATTGATTCTTATTTCTTGTGGAGAAAGTATATTGTTTTTCATTTAACAAAAGAAAAAATTTTTCAAAGATTTTTAACTAATTTTCTCATGAAACTTTTTTTTTTTTAGAACAAATCGAACTTTCAAGATATGAACCATAAACCCTTCTTTATATATTTTTAATCAACGAATATTTTGGTATGAAACTTTTTGAAACTTTGAAACTTAACATTTTCATCAAATCTTATTAAATTCAAATATATATATATAAAAACAATAAAATTTATTAATTATTTTAATTATGATATCTGATATTTAAAAAAAATTTTTATTAATAGTTTTTTATTTTTATTATTTATTTTTTTTTATTTATTTACTGATTTTGATGATTCTCAGATTTTTTCATACTTTCTATTTTTATGTATCTAGAATATTCTAAACATTAGATTATTTTTTTTATACATATTAAATTTATAAACAATTCATAAAAATAAGCGTTTTTTGAATTATTTATTTAAGTAAACAATTTTTGGGAAAAATTTTTTTTATAAAAGATCTGTTAAATAATAAACTGGGATTTTTTTTAATGATTGATTGGCGTAGGTCTTTACACCTAAAAAAAAATTTTTTCCTCGAAAAAAAAAAAAAAAATTTTNTTGTAAATGGGGCTGTAAATAACCATTTGTTTTAGTTTTTTTTTTGGTTTTCCTTTTTTTAATCAAAATTAATCTATATAAAATAAAGTTCATCATTTAAAAGAATATCTATTTCGTCATAAATTATGCAATGTGATTATAAATCAACTAGTAAAATTAGTAAATTAGTAAAATTAATATCGGTTACACGATACAAAAAAAAAATCTATAAAATCCTCAAAATATTTTACGTGTGAAAAATAAACTTGAAAGCTTATTTCCGATTTTTTTTTTTTAAAAAAAAAAAAAAAAAAAAAAAAAGGTTGAAAAAAAAATATACAAATGATATAAAAGAGAATATACAAGAAAATTTACATATCGCGAAGTGAATCTTATAACGAATCATTAGGTTGATGTAAAAAGAAAAAAAAAATTATACTCGGATTAAATTCTATAATTGACGTTACAGGTAAATTTTCAATCAAATGTCCGTCCACTTAAATGAATTTTTTTCATAATTCGTAATTACTAATTTTTTTATACCTTCAATCGTACCACACGAGTTTATTTTAATAAGCATATAATATTAATAAGGGATATTTTACATCATACGTAAATAAAATGATTTTTTAAAATACTTATTAAGCGTGATATATATATACACGCATTAAAGGTGTGAAACATAATATTCGTAAAATATATATATAATATATATCACCATTACGTCATTTATCTGCCACCTGGTATTTGATAACTATTACCATTACTCGCACCAGTTCCATTTTGTTGTCTGTCAAAAAAATGAGGAGGAGGTAAAGTATAACCGATTCTATCATTATTTGAAGGAGGTGGAAGATCAATTTGATGTTGATGATGATGATTAAGTGGAGTAGGACGAATATTATGATGATGATGATGAGAAGGTTGTGGTTGATGACGATGATAACTTATTGGTGGTAGAGTTGAAGGAAGATATTGTAGTGGACCAGAAGAATTAGCTGAAGTTTGATGATGAAGATGCTGTTGACCTGGAGCTATTATAGGTATAGGTGTAGCATTAGATGATCTATATTGAGAATATGGTTCAATTACTCTTTGCATCATCACTGTAGCAGCAGCTCTTTCACGAGCACGTTCTTCACGTTCCCTTTGTTCCCTTTGACGTTGTTCTTGTTCACGTTGAGCTTGTTCCCTTTTACGATTTTCACGAGCAATTGTACGTGAATACCTCAATCCACAAGCATTACATAAACTATATATATATATATAAAAAAGGAAAGTCAGTTTCATATTTTTCATCTTCAAATTTACCAATAATGAAAAAAAATATTTTTTTAACACTTACGTTTTATGTCCAGTTGGACCACGACGCCATTCAGGACTAGAAGAAGTATGACAACTCTCACATTTCTTAACACCTTGAACATTATTATTATTATTGTTATTATTGGTATTATTATTATTAGTTCTACGTTGTTGAGTAGTAGTGAATTGAGGAGTATATCGTTGTTGAGATTGATTAGATGATGATTGAGATGAAGGAGGTGTTGTTTGTTGAGGTTGTGACATAATATTATTATTGTTGTTATTATTATTGTTATTATTGTTAATAGTAACATTATGGAATTGAGAATGATTTGTAGGAGTAGGAGAAGGATAATCATGTTTTGGGGAAGGTTGACGAGGTTGTGAAGTTTGAGTAACATGAGGATAATAAGGTTGTTGTGGATGTTGTATAGTTGGTAAAGGTTGAATATCCTTTGAAGTTGTAGAGAAAGAGAATTGTGGTTGAGTACAATGTTGTTGTTGATCATTATATGAAGGGGGAGACATTGGATTCAATAATAAATGAGGTACTGATGGAGAAGAAGAAATTTTTATGGGTACAAAATGTTGTTCATTAGAAGAACGATGCCTTTTGGAACGATGATTTTCCTGAATAAAATCAGGAAAATCATGATTATAATAAGAAGAAGAATTATTATTATTATTATTATTATAACGTTTAATTTCATCATCATAAAAATGAGAAGAAGGTAAAGGAGAAAGAGAACCAGGGGATCTAGGTCTTTTAACATAAACACTATTATTACTATTAATTGTAGCAGCAGGTGAACAAGGAGCAGATCTTGCCTTTGGTTTAGTAAAAGCTGAAGATACACCTAATATTGAAGAAGTAGCCGAAGGTAATATTTGAAAGCAAGCAAAAACAATATCACCATAAGGAATTATTACACTTTCTGCTTGACGACAAATTCCTGAAGTTTCTATAATATGTTTATCAGATGTAAGTTTTAAACAATTTGGAGATTCTCCAACATCTAAATTATTAGATTTCTTAATATTATTACTACTAGTATCTTTGATAATAGATGAATCCCATATGAGACGAGAAAAATCATATTTGTTATATGAATTAATACTATTTGAATCTGGCCAAGTGAAAATTAGGTTTCGAGATTTTCTATCAAGAATTTGAAATATACGATTTGGAGTTTCATTATTAAAAAAACTTTCAGGAAATGGTGTAGAAGGTGGTGTTTGAACTTTATTTGTCAAATGTTTTCGCATAAGAGACGTTAATTTATTAACCTCCTAAAAAAAATATATAATAATTTATAAAATGTAAAAAATATGAAATGTAAAAAAGGACAATGTTTATATATATATATATATATAGTTACCTCTTTGGTGAATTCCGTTTCGCCACATGTACTTGATACACAATTCGAGTTATTTTGCTTTGCTAATATTAATTAAAAATTAACGAAATTAATTGCCGAAATAATTAATTAAATGACAAAAAGATCAAATTAAAAATTAAATTTTAATTAAATACCGGAATGGAAAAAAGCCAACACGATATCTTGACTAACAACATTCATACCAACATCCATTACCATATATTCATCATTCGATCGAGAAGTGGTGTTGGTAGTAGTAGTAGTAAAATTAGGTGATGTCATCGTAGATGAAGCAGGAGAATATTGAGAAGGCATTTGTTTAAAAGATGATTTTGATGAAGAAACAGGAGTTTGTTGTAATTTTTTCCTTATAGTTTGAATGGTATTATATTGACACCTAATATATATAAAAAAAAAAGGAATATTATCAGTAAAATCACGTGCCTTATTAAAAAAAACGCGTTTTTATAAAAGAAATAAATTTCTACAAGATATGTACGTGGTAACAGAACATGATAAAGTTTTCTTTTTGACGAATTCGGACAAATCATGACGCGCCATTTCTCGTTCTTGAGGATGAAAATAATCAAAAAAGGAAGTTCCTAATAATAAATCATCTTCTGAACCAAGAGTCTTTGAAAGCCATGGTGAAAGGTAAACGAAACACAAATCTTTTTGTGATAAGAGAGCCCAGAAACAAATTGAGAAAGTCATTATGTATATATTTTATGTGAATGAAAAGGTAAAAGAGTTTTTATATATTTTTTGTATTTGTTAAAATGAACTTATGATATTGTGATATGGTTTTGATATGTTTTAACTATATGATGTATATAAAAGGGGGAGTTTTTTTTTTTTATTAATGAATTGATTCCCAACCGGTGAGAAAAGGATTTTCTATTTACAAAATTATGTATATAAATCAAACTTGTTTTTATAAAAAAGAATTAAGGAATCAAAAAATAATAATAGAATTCACCGGTTTTTAACTAAACGAATTTAAAGAAGTATTATCTTTTCTTTTCTTTTTAAAAAGAAAAAATTAATTATTAAAAATACGCGAGAAAGGAAAACCACGTCGAAAATATGAAAAATATGATACAAAAAAAAAAAAAAAAA